TCCTTCTCTCGAATCGAGGTTAAGCCTTCTTCCTCCTCTGTTATGCCTTGGAAGCTAAAATAGCGAAAGAACGATAGAAAATCTACAGGAATACTTAGAATAGTGGCTGATTTTGGATTATAATTCAATACAAAAGCAAGATACAGTTGATCTACGATTCGAGAGGTAGATCTGCTCTCCTAAAAAACCAAGACGTCGCTAGGAAGCCCTCAAAGAAAAAATACAGCAAAACCAAACCAAAATATAATGAAAATAATCAAACTAGCCCTAAATAACATTTCCCTAATTCCTCCCAAAACGGCCCTCTTTCCTTAATTATTTCCCTCTCCTATTTAAATTCAATTAGGAAATCTTTCCCAAAATAATTCCCTCCTTTTTGGGTGTAGAAACTACTAGCATCGAGCATCAATACAAAGACAGCGTCAGACATTAATATGGAGATCATTTTGAAATGTTGATGTTGTAATGATGTCAGATGTTGATGTTGAGATGACATCGGTCATTGTTGTGAAATCAAAGTTATAACCCGACAAAGAGAAATGGACATGAGAATATTTGATGAGTGCGGATGATTGATTTGATGTTGTGGATAGGAAATACGAATTTTAGATTTTATATTTTAAATAAGTAAAAATTTTAATTACAAGAAATTATATTTAAAAAAATAAAATATTTAAGATATGCATGTCGGACACTGTTGTCCAATTTGTATTTAATATTTTTTCAATCGGACACGTTTTCGGCGTGTTCGACACGTGTCGAAGGAGTGTCAGATGCGTGTTGTGTCGGACACTGCACGCCTCTTTGAGAAGAAGTGTTGGTGCATCATGGAGCCCTGCCCTACTCCCTGTATTTCCATGACCATGGTTTTAAGTGAAACCATAGTTCTGTATAAGCTGGTGTCCCCTCACAGCACCACCTTCTTCCCCTCCATCTGAATCTCCATAGTCAACGACTTCCAGTCCACCTTGGTCTCCCCAATCATTTGTAACCACTTCATCCCTAGGATCACATCAGTGCTCCCTAATTCCAAAGAAAAAAAATCTTCCACTATCTGTATGCCTTGAAGTTCCAGCACCAAACCTTTGCAAATGCCCCTACTCCTCTCTACATTTCCCGTTCCAATCAAAATCCCAAAGCTCCTTGTATCCATCAGCTTCAATCCTAATTGGTCCACAACCTAATTGGAAATGAAGTTATGAGTAGTCTCGCTATCCACTAAGACTACCACTGATTGCTCCCCAATTTGCCCCCCCCCCACCTGCATGGTGTGATTTGGGGTAAATCCCAACACAGAGTTAAGGGACATCTCCGTCAAGTCTAGGTGTAGCTGCTCTATTTCCCCTACATTCTCCTCTAGATCGGCCCCGCTCTCCTCTTCCCCTTCACAGACCATCAAGAATTGAAAGGCTTGATTCTTGCGCTTATGTTCTGATGTAAATCTCTCACACACCTAAAGCATAACTCTTTTGTCCGTCTATCATGCACCTCTGCTTCTATGAGGTGCTTGAAATTACCTCATGGATGAACTCTATTGCTCTTCTCCTTTTGTGCTTCCCTCTAAAATGACACCGTTTGGGTCCTCGGTGCTAGGGTCATGGAGGTATTCCTATAAGCCCCTCCCATGGTGATTCTCCTGTTAGCATTATTCATCTACTATTTTTCTTCCATCCTTGTGTGCTAGATTCTTCATCCTCTTAGCCCTATAGGCCTCATCACCTTGAGCTTTGCTAGTATGTCTTCCTTAAGATCCATCATGAAATTATCTTCCAACCCTTCCTCAAAAATTTCCCTCAGCCTACCTGACAATATCTCAAATCTCTCCTAATACTCCATAATGGTCCCCTCTTGAATTAATGCATAAAACTGCTCATGGAGGTCTTCTTCCCGAATGCCTTAAAAACATTCCAATAAATAATCCTTAAATTCTCTCCAGGAATAGATCGGATATCTGACCTCCCTCCACTAAAACAAAGCTAAGCTTGTACTTCCAAACATAGCTTCTCCATGATCTTTTCTCCACCTAATACACTCAACCCTGAGCATCTTCCCCTTAAAAATCCGACATTTTTAACTTCCTTGATCATCCATGCCCCAATGATTTCTCCCTCCGTTAGTTCCTCCAGCGTAGTGATGGTGCGATTCCCTCACTTCCTCCCTTGGTGAATTTGGACCCCATAGTTCAACCCAACTATTGCTTCCTCCGATCCACCTTCCCTCCTGTCTATGATCTCCAAAAGGGTTCCCGCTTCTCCTTTTCTTGTTGCCCTTTGGAATACCTCATCGAAACCTCCCAAGGTGATTCTTGAGGGAAAACACTCCCCCCTTGATCATCATCCTCCTGAACTTTCTTCCCATTCATATCAGCCCTAGGAATAGCCAACGAATCTTTAATTGTATAAAGATCAACTTTTCATCATGTCTTTCATGTTCTCAAAGCAGTTCTCCATGGATGAAAGCCTTCCTTCCATAGTTGTGAACTTCCTTTCAATTTTGGAATATTTATCCTCCATTCCAAAATATTTCTCCTCCATCCCAACCCTGATTTGTTCCAACTAGCCTTCCAATGCTTATATCTTCTTGGCTTCCATTTACCTTGCTTTGATACCAACTTGTTATGCTTTGGAAGAGAACACAGTGATAGAACGATAGAAAATCTGCAAGAATATTTATAATAGTGGCTGCTTTTGGATTATAACTCAATACAAAAGCAAGTTACAGTTGATTTATGATTCGAGAGATAGATCGGCTCTCCCAAACAACCTAGACACCGCTATGAAGCCCTAAAAAAAAACTACAGAAAAACCAAACCAAAACACAATGAAAAAAATCAACATAACTAGCCCTAAAAAACATTTCCTTAATTCCCCCAAAACAACCCTCTTTCCTTAATTATTTCCCTCTCCTATTTGAATTCAATTAGGAAACATTTCCCTAAATAATTACCTCCTTATTCCTCTTCCTAACATAATAGATTATTTCATTGGTGGGCCCAACAAGGAGGGCCGAAATCCTCTGTCCCAGATTCTGCTGGATTGGCCCTTGCTGGGCCGATTGGTTGGTTCTGATTTCTACTAGACCTGCTGTATCATCCTCCATTTTCTATTGTTTGAGATCGTTCAACAAGGGTAAATTAATAATATTATTATTGTTATTTGAATTCCTAGATTTGATTGGCGGCGTCAGGTCTTAATTTTATAATTTTCTTCGTATTGTAAGTTTTCTTTTTATGTTACGATTTAGTTCATAAATTACGGAATACAATGTTATTTACATACCTTCAACATTATTATTTCATGATAAATGTTGCAAGTTTGACTAATAAAGTTTATGGTGAGTTGGGTAAGCTTTCTATTTTATGTATTGGAGTCTTATAGTATTATATAAAATTAGGATTTATTATTTGTAGGACTTTCAAGTTTTGTTCTTTAGGCATGATTGGTTGAGCATCTTTTGGCTTTAGTCTTTGTTTCACTCTTCTAGGGATAAGTAACTATTATTTATTTTGGGATAAACATACCCTTCTTTGTTAGGGGCGCTATCCTAATTGCTTATGATAGGTTTCTAGATATTAGGTAGTTAGTTCAAATTCTAATGTTTATTTATTAGTATTGTGCATGCCAGGTAATTTTATTTATCGCTCATATTGAAATCATCATGTAGTGAAAATAATATTACTTTGATTTTTTTATGCAAAAACTTCTATCACTGAAAATGATTCATGCTGTAAAAAATTTAATTTATACATATCAATTCTATTTTAGGCAGTACATTATACTTCTGCTGTAAATCATGTTGATTATAAAAATTGTGATTGTTATACTGATTCATATAATATCTGCTAGTTATTTGTAACAATACTTGCACTATTTGATTGTGTGTATAGCAATAGAATCCTATTGAATTTTGGTCAGCCGGGGTCAACGGGCCCATAGAGTGAAGACTTTATAGAAAATTACTGAATTTCCTTGAGTTGGTGAGGGTATTTGATAGATCGACTATATACATATGAATGTTTGGATATAAATTGAAATAATAAAATAATTGATAAGTCATTTTGAGATATAAGGATACTTAGTGTGGTGCATTTGTAAACATTAAAATGATTTGACATTAATAGTTATTTGGCATATATATCGGCATACTAGAATCTATTATAAGAAATATATCATATCTCATGACTATTTTGATATAGTGATTATAGGTTACTATTCTCAACTTTGGATTGTTCATATTGTATGTCGCATTCTTTTATCGTTTATACTTTGATATATAGGAGTTACTTAGTTTGATTTATCAAACTCACTCATTATCAATTTTTACAGCAGATCCTACAAGCATGATTAGTGGACTGTCACTTCAGAAGTAGAGTTATCCGTAGCAGACTATTTTTTATATTTTACATTATATAGTAGTTTATCATGCTTTTAATTATGTGGATTGGACAGTTTCTTTATTGTTATTTTTTCCTGCTGACATTTGCTTTTATCAATATTATTGCTACTTGGATGTAATATTTGTTTGCATTTTATTAATGAATTGACTTTTTAATTTCACTTCCCCTACTTTGTCTGATGTATATCCTATTATGTTACTTGTATATACATGTTTCTCTTTGTGAACACAAAACACATTTTTATATCCCTTCATCGCATCCAGCATTATCGGGGTGTACCGTCCTACGGACCCAGGGTGTGACAACTATGACACTAACTTCACTAGCAAAAAGAATTAGAGAACAATTTTCATTCCAAAAAAGGACCAAAAGATTTTCTTGTGAAGTTTTTTTAAAATGGATAAATAAAAAATTATGACTAGTTCAAAATGAGAACCTAACATTGCATAAGTCTATCCACTGTTGACACAATCAATGTTCTCATGGATTTGCATGTGATTGTGTTTACTGAAGATAAAGAGTTTTTAAAAGAAGACAAATGAGATTACAAATTATCTAAGGTAAATAATAATCGAAATCTTAGAAAAAATATCTACATGATTACCTGCTGAGGATGTGCAACCGAACGAGCTTATCCACACAAAATAGCTCTATGATATGCACAGAAGTGGCAATTCAAAGGGCTAAACTGTCAACTTCGATGACCATTCATCTATGACACCATAATCAATGCTCAGCTCTCTCAAAGGGGGTATATTTTCCAATGCAAATACCATAAGATGAGGATATGACAGATTATAGTGATCATATAAAACAAACTGCATAAAAACATTTGGACTACAACTATGGCTGAAATAACAAGCAACATTCCTTGCCCTTGAAACATCAAGTGAGAAGTTCAACTCTGGCAAATAAGGATATGTAGATGGCATGTAATCTGAAAAAACGTCAGATATGTCTCCCCATTCAACCCATCTTCTAGGAAAGCGATTAGGTTGCACCAGACTTCTACTAGCAACAGATAATAGTTCTGCTTGTTGTTTTGTGAGGACAATCCCACTAAACTCACAGATGAAAGTCCCTGCTTGAATAAAATCCCATGACCGAACACCCCATTCGGTCTCATTGGACCTAAACACCTCCAATCGTCGCCTGATCCCCTTCTGGCTCACTCGGTTTGGACAATTCAGCTGACATCGGCATGCAGTGCCACACTCATATATCAATGGTTTCCCTCTCAAAAGAACTCCACTTGCATCATAAGCAAATTCACCCCCATTTAGAGTCGCACAATAGCATTCAGCCGAGCATTTGGTCTCACACTCACAACCATGTATGCCATCACCATGAACCTTCTCCAGGATGGCTGGAGGATAAATTGGATGGTGAGAGTATTGAAATTGCAAAGGATCCTTATCATCATCGAGGTCATTGTACAGCGAAACGGGGAAACTCTCCCTCCCCATTGATATGTCATTGCAGAAATAGAAACTCTTTCTCACACTCAATGAACCCAATTTTAAGCTTGCCGCAAGTTTAAACATTGCACTTCCCATCTCTTCTTGCCCCTCAATTCTCAAAAGCTTGTATTTGTACACTTCAAAGCCAGACTTCCCAATATCGGTCCAACAATTGACAGCCCTGTAAAGTCCATCATACACGTAAACCATACCATTAGGGCCATTATTGATCTTCATTCCTCTAATCACTCGAATCTCAATCCCATACTTCATACTTCTCTCAAGAGCCAAGTTTCCTCCCTCAAGCTTCTGGCTAGCGTACATCTTATGTTGATTTCGGTTCAAACCACCATGGCCGGTATATATTAGCACATCTCCACGATCTTCATCATCTTCATAACCACCTGATACTATTATGCTGGTGGCTATTGGCTCGCCGCTGCTGCTCCGACCAGCCGATACATAGTCAATTCCTGCTTGGAGATGGCCATGCAAGCCAATGACACAGAGCTCCGCCCTGAAGAAATAGACATCTCCAATGCATATCCCCGGAATGGAGCCAATAATACGCTTGTCGCGGTTGAGCCAAAGACCACGTTTTGACATGAAAGCCGCCGCCTTGAGATCAGCGCGGCTTCGCTTCTCTAACACCCCGAGACTTTCCCTCCTCACCTCATCTTGAATGATGAGCAACCTAAGTGACTCGAACGTGGTCCGAGCCCGGCGGATGATGTCGCGGAAATTAATTTGCTCCTGCTCACTTGGTGAGGAAATCCTTACCATCTCAGCCGACCGATCCTTCTTCTGCTTCTTCTTCTTCTTCTTCTTCTTGACGACCATGCACGAGGCGAACTGTAGGGAAGCTAAGTGCGCGTCTGGAGCTGCGACGGCAGAGGTGGAAGAGGAGGATCCAATAGGGATGAAGATGGGAAACCTCTCAGTACAGCCAGTTGCGAAGATGCGGGCAAGGCGGCGGTATTCGGCTAAGAAGATTTCATCGTCGGTGGCCGGGGAAAGGGAAATGCGTTCTGAGTCAGGATCAGGGTTAGGTTTATGCGGAATGGGGGAGATAAGCAAGCTCGTTTCAAGGGGCTCAGCAATGGAACCGAGGCTCAGGAGAGAGGAGGAAGAGGGAGAAGCCATGGCGGCCAGCGTGGAATAAGAAGGGACAAAGATTGTTCTTTTACAGGGAAAGACGAAGAACGCGAGAAGTTGCATTCAAGAGAATTTGTAATGGTGGAGGAAGGGATGGCACTGCGACTCTGCGAGTACAAAATGGGACGCAACACTAGCGCAGTTCCCGCGGCGTCTGCTCAGCCATTTCTGCATGGCATAAATATTATATTTTTACTTTAAATAATAAATTTAAATTATGATTTATGATGATATATGTAAATAGCATGAAATAAAGTGGTATTTTTGTAAGTCCCAAAAAAAAAAACTCATAATATTGCTTAATATGTAAAAAAGGAATAAAAGAAAATTTAAAAAAATTATGAAGAAAGCATAAAAACACACCGAAATTTTATAGTAGTTCAATCAATTGTGGGTTGTATTTGTATCGAAGAAATTGATATTGTAATTCTCAATAATCAGATCATAGTGAATGTAATCTAAGCAACAATAATTTCTCAAATACAAAAATAAAGATAATATTTCACCCTCTTTCTAACCCCTATGATGATTTTACTACAAAAGGCCAATTCGTTAGTGGATTTGTCACAATTTGTTTTTGTCTGCGAATAAAAATCTATTATGGAATCTAACAATGTATAATTCTACGATGTCATAAAATATGATATAACCATCAATTAGGTGAACTTTTATGTAATTCTTTGTGAGTTTAGTCAATTAAATTAAACATATTGTTGCGTCCTGGAATATTTATGATGATAGAGAAATTTAAAGTTTAATGTCTTGACTCTTTACGAAGATCCAGGACACAATCAGATAAAAGAGGGTGTATTTTTCATAAGAGACCAGAGTTTTTACGTAGAAACCTCTAAAAAGGGGAAAAATCACGGGGTCAGGCCTAATTTGACTGAATCTATTAGTGTTTGTAATCGATTATAAATGAGGCACTGCCTTGGGGCAAAACATTGGCTTGATGTAGCAAATATACATCATATAGAGTGCATTACATGGTGCAAATTGGGAGAATCAATATTTACATGTTCGTTTGGTCAGTATGATCATAATCAGTGGGCGAAAGATGTCAGAAAGTTTGTATTTGGGTGACGGTGGTTGGAAGGACCGTAGTCGGCAGGAGACGAAGGTCAGAAAGGCCGTAAGTCTGGTGACAGAAATAAGAAAGACCATAGTTAGCGAGCAACAGTGGTCAAAAGGACCGTTGTCTAGTGACGGAGGTCGGAAGTACCGTAGTCTGACGACGGAAGTCGGAAGGACTATAGTCTGGAAACAAAGGTCAAAAGGACCATATTCGGTGGGCACTAGTGATTAAAAAGATTGTAGTCGGACGATTATGGACAGAAGGACCGACAAAAGTCGGTGGACGGGTGTAAATCTAGCTTCAGTTGGTGATCTGGTGGAAGTCCGACGACAATCGGTGGCCGAGCGGAAGTCCAACGACAATCGATGGCCTGGAGTAAGTCCTACGATAGTCGATGGTCGAGCGATAGTCGAGGAGGAGCTTGATGGAAAGAAAGAACTCAGATTTCTCTTCGTCTCTCCTCTCTTCTTTTTCTTCCTTCCTTCATCCCTTGCTTCCTCCTCTGGTCCTCCACCCTTTCAAGAAAGAATGAGGGGTCTATGACGGTTCTTCTTTTCGAGAGGTTCAGTTCGCTATAAATTTGCTCAAACCAAAATTCAGATGGTTCCATATATAATTTTGGAAGTTTCCAACATGATTTGCCTTAAGATTTGTGCCCAATGAATATAATTTTTTTATGATATATCACCTATAAATAATCCCAAAGAGTTGTTTATTTATTTATTTTATGTAGGAGTCTTTTCTCTGTTTAGAAGAATTCATTATTCTTACTGTACAAGAACTCAATTAGAAGTACTGTCAAATAGATCATTTTGGTGCAATTATATATTAATCTTAATTTATTCAATAACATTCCCTTTACCATAGTCATTAGGGCATACTTAGGCATTGGAACACGTATAACTATTAAAATAAAGCAATCCGCATAAAACGCCTCATCAAAAGTGGAGAAGTAGAGACTTAGGCTTCGTTTGAGACAGCTTTCTTACTGCTTCTTAAAACAACTTTTTAGTATAAACATTTTAATTTTTATACTAAAAAACTGTTTTAAGAAGCAATAAAGAAGTCGTCCCAAACGAAAAAGCTCCGTGTGAGACAATTTTCTTACTGCTTTCTAAAGAAGTTTTCTAAGTATTAAAACTTTTTTGAACAAGAATTTTTTGTATTAGAAAGCTACTTTAGAAAACAGTAAAAAAAAACTGCCTCAAAAGAAACCTAATTATGATATTTAAGCAACATATAATAACACTCAAAATTTAGACTATTTATTAAAACATTCCTCTATCAATCCATTCTATTATTAGAGACTTTAGTTCTTATATGTTTGGTTGAAGATATTCTATGTTTTTGCATATGATTAGGATTCATGACATTTGCGTGTATGTTATTATTTCAAGAGTTTGATATTAAATTCATGACTGTTGAACAAAAAATTTCCAACATTCTTGAATACTTTTGAAATTTCTAATAGAATTATGTCAATGATTTTCTATTAAATTTTGTTTTATAATTTTATTCAATATAAATAAAAGAAATAGAAAATAAAGAAGATCAACCCACACAAAATACAACTATTTTAATAATAACTTTCATATTTTTTGTTAATTAAAATAGCTAGCAGCTTCAACCCTTCATATTTGGACCACTATTTATCAAATAAATATTTTTGTCCCACTAAGATGATGATAGCATGGTCCAATGCCTATGACGAATTGAAGATGATACAAGTGTTCTAATAATTCACTTCAATATTATCACTAACTTTCAATCCAACACTATCTTCTTCTTCTTCTTTAGCTCATTAAAAAACAAAAACCTTCAGAGTATGCTTTGATAGATTAGATAACGTACTTGATTCTCCTTCACATTTCCTGACTGTATTATGCATTCCTACTCTTCTGCTACTCTGGTTTTCGAATCTGCTTAAAATTCTCATAATTGAACTTCTCAATGTACCAAGATTAGTTCTAACTTAGAAAGCTCTCATTATTTTTACCAAACAGACGCATGAAATCAGTTCCATGAACTGAATTTTAAATAAGCTGCATTACCAACATCAAAACAAACAAGCTCTTAGTGCATCCAAGTAATGCTCAACTGAAACTAAGGCTTTGTTTGAGGCAACTTCTTATTGCTTCCAAAAACAATTTTTTCGTATAAAAATTCTAATTTTTATAATAAAAAACTGTTTTAAGAAGCAACAATAAAGTCGTCCCAAACGAGGCCTAAGATATGATAAGATTACCTCTCAACAACAGGAGAAATTATTCTGTGCGGCGACCGTATGCAGAACGCCGTCCATAGACCAACTAAAATGTGCCACATTAGTGATACAAAGTCGTGGTACCGAGCAATATTGAGCCACGATACCGAGTGAAGGGGTGACATGGCGCATTCTGGTTGATCTCCAAATGACATTTAGCATCCGCACAGAATAATTAATCCAACAACAGACGGATCATATCTTTGATTAGACATAATGGAGAACTGGACATGAAGCAGTAGTTTATTTCCTCAACAAGATGAATAAATAGTAAAAAAAAAAACGAGCATTTACCAACAGTAGCATGAGCATAGATCACAAGGCACATAAGAAGCATACTTACATAAACTCTATTCTAAAACACCTAACAATATGTAATCAGCACAGTCATAGGGACAAAAGAAAAGGAAAAACAATTAAGTAAAAATAATGCCTCCTTGCAATCATTTAGCTAACATTCATCCCTAACAAAGCCTCACCAATAAGCTCATCAAAGACTTGTTCACCAATTTCTTTGCTTATTGTAGCAATCTCAGACAGCAGCAATTCACTCCATCCAGTGCCTTTTACCTCCCTTCCAAGCAGCTTCTCTACCACCAAGCTGCCATTAACAGCCTCACCAACGGTCCAACTCTCACCACCAGAAAGCCTATTCTTCACAACGGGCCATACTTGTTCAGCCAGTAGAGTTTCATCTTCTGCAACACAGCACACTTTGGTGCTTTGATAAGCACCTTGTTCTGCAGAATGGCCAATTTCTTGCAGAACATGATTGACGCAGTCAAAGATAAGCTTCTGATTTGAACTCCTCTCTCCAGTCTTTACTACTTCCTCTTTTGTATCCGAGAGCTTATCCAGTAACTTGGGATCTAAAGGGATTTCTGGGGAATGCCATCCGTTAAAGATAGTACTTAGTCTATTCCTATATAAACCAGAAGTTGTCAGCAAATTCTGAACGAGTATCAGCTCGTTTGGATCATCTTCATCTTCCTTGCAGAAAGCTTTGGAAAGTTCAATAGCTCCTGAACAGGAATCATCCCATGACAAGGTGCGGGCCATGGATTCAATTGGAGTAGACCTTGATAGAGCTTCTGCAAGTGGAGCAGGCAGGTCTCAGAGAATTAGAGAATTCGAAGAATGAGTAAAGAATGCAGTAAGCTTACGTGGGTTATCAGAACGAGCAATTTTGGAAGAATTAAGAGCATTTTCATTTGTTTCGTCTTTAAAAGGTGTGTCTAGTATGGAAGTAGGGCTGGGATGATCCTGGTTCTCACTGCGTTTTTCAGGAATTCTTAGTATTTCTTGATTTGCACTTGAAGGACCGGGCTCTTCATGAGAGAGACTGGCCTGCAAGCAAGTGAGAGATGACTATTAAAGACATAAGGGCTTAAAGTGTCTACAAGAAAAGCCATGACAAGTATAGAGCACATGAGAAACTTATAGCTTAGAAGCAAGACTGACAAGATAACAAAGGTTCATTTTCTTTAAGAAATCTTAACATTTGAGATTCACATACATCAAACTAACGTCTAATTATTCTGTCCATACACCGGATGGAGAAAACCGTCCGGATTTGTTGCGCTTTTACTGTCATTTTGCTGTGTTTTTGCAAAAGGGCAGTAAAAGTGCAACAAATATTTAATATTTACTAAATAATTAAATATTTGATGTGCTTTTGCAAAAGAGTGGAAAAAGTGCAATAAAAATGCATTCATTAAAAGAGCAGCAAATCCGGACGGTTCTCTCCGTCTGGTGTCCGCACAAAATAATTTCTCCAAACTAACACACCTGCGTTTGTCAAAGAAGAAATCAATGTCAATAATTTACGAAAACATACCTTGTGTGAGATCTTGCTCTCATCCGAGTCATCATTCAGTGCAATTGGAGAAGCTATTTGGCCCAACTCTGCCTCAAAATTCCCGGACAGACTTGCTTCAGGGACATGAGTCTGAATTGCTTGTGATGAACTATCATGCATATTACCGACAGTGTCAGCACTGACAATTTGCAACCCATTTTCAGTAGCCTCCAAGGAAGAAGAAACAGATTCATCTCTGCCACTTTTCTTGTTTTTCAAGAAGAACAAACTTGATACTCTTCCCTTGAAGGATGTTTTCCCACTCCTAGATTTTGGTGTTTCCTTGGTAACCACAGATTTATCAGTTCTGGAGTCAGAATAATCATTTTAACATATGCATACTTTGCTACTATCTTTCACAGTTACTAAATTCCTTCACTAAAATTCTTCTTACACACCATATTTTTGTAATTTAGAAAATTCTTTAACTGAATTCTATGAAACAGAGATTTCAGAAATACCTTTATTCCCAATTGCTCCCTTCAGCACAGCGTTGAATCCACTACAGGATTCCCTTCTTGATTTACCGTAGAATTACTCTCTAGCCGAATTTCCACAGCACACAGAACTTCTGTGCAGAACTTTTCTTATAGCTTTCTGTGCACTTATGAATTCCTTATAATCCTTCAGCCTGCAGTTGTTATTTCCCAAACCGGAAATCCAACTTCTGCTTCTTACTTCAGCTAGTTCCGCCTCTTGCTTCAGCCAGAGCATGTTCCGCCTCTTCCTAAAGGAAAACTGCCAATTTCCTATACGGGAAAAGAGGCATTCTATACCGTCTCGGGTGAGAGTGTATAATCGAACTTGCTACGGAATATATTAAATCCTTATCCCGTTCAGTAATTCCGCACTAGATGATAAGATGGAGTGGACCCCACTCCAAAACTGCTATTCTCTTTATCCACACCAATGAACACATCTATTCAAAAAAAAAATAATATTTACATCAATATTTTTTTTTTTAACAGTACTTAAAACTTTATTTAAATAAGGTTTGATTTTCTTTTACCAGAATTTGAGTTGTCACAATTTAACCAGTGATTTCGCCGCTAAATGACACCATATGAAAATGGTTATGACCTAGACCCTCTAACCATGTGCTTTTGTCGTCAAATGACACCATTAAATTACAGTCATGGTTGGAGCACGCATGTTCCTCAACGACATTAAATCCTTTAGTATTGAATCAATATGATACGACTGATATGACACAAAGCACTTCGTTAGCTAAGGTGGATTTAAATGTCCTCTTAGGTGTTTATATTCACCCTTGGTCGAAGCAACCCATAGATGCCGAAAAGGATCATTTTCTCAAGTTGGGTCGATTACGTCCTTTAACTATGAAGATCAGAGATCATGATGACTCGGGATGACGGAATCATTGGATCTTGATCGGGTCTATCATCATTCTTCCCACCATCCGCTTTAAGTGCAAAGTGGTAAATTTCTAAATTTAAATATTAAAATTAAAATATATAAATCTTGCTACTATTATACGCCAGATACTACATATTTGCATGACGACTAGCCTTAATCAAAAGTTCTCTGTCGTTACCGAGAGGGGTAATTAACTATAGGGGCTTGCACCTATAGAAAACTGAACTCATATCATAAAGTTCTTGCAAATGAGGGCAAAATATCTGGGTAGTGTCTTATTTAAAAATCAATATGCCTTCAAAAAATTTTCCTCAAAACATAAACGTTAAAACTCTCCTCAACGACTTGATGAAAAAGAAAGAAATGGGTCCATGGAGAGGCAGGACGCAAATTTTCGGTGCACACACGGTCTGAAAAATAAAAACAGTAAGAAAACTATCCCAAATAAAATCTTATGTTTGATTTCAGAGAGCTTTTTGATTGATTTTGTATTAGGAAAGATAGTCAAATAAAACATAATGCATGCTTGAATGACAATTTTTACACAGAAAGCTTTGGAAAGTTCAATAGCTCCTGAACAGGAATCATCCCATGATAAGGTGCGGGCCATGGATTCAATTGGTGTAGACCTTGATAGAGCTTCTGCAAGTGGAGGAGGCAGATCTCAGAGAATTAGAGGATTCGAAGAATGAGTAAAGAATGCAGTAAGCTTACGTGGGTTATCAGAACGAGCAATTTTGGAAGAATTAAGAGCATTTTCATTTGTTTCGTCTTTAAAAGGTGTGTCTAGTATGGAAGTAGGGCTGGGATGATCCTGGTTCTCACTGCGTTTTTCAGGAATTCTTAGTATTTCTTGATTTGCACTTGAAGGACCGGGCTCTTCATGAGAGAGACTGGCCTGCAAGCAAGTGAGAGATGACTATTAAAGACATAAGGGCTTAAAGTGTCTACAAGAAAAGCCATGATAAGTATAGAGCACATGAGAAACTTATAGCTTAGAAGCAAGACTGACAAGATAACAAAGGTTCATTTTCTTTAAGAAATCTTAACATTTGAGATTCACATACATCAAACTAACGTCTAATTATTCTGTCCATACACCGGATGGAGAAAACCGTCCGGATTTGTTGCGCTTTTACTGTCATTTTGCTGTGTTTTTGCAAAAGGGCAGTAAAAGTGCAACAAATATTTAATATTTACTAAATAATTAAATATTTGATGTGCTTTTGCAAAAGGGTGGAAAAAGTGCAATAAAAATGCATTCATTAAAAGAGCAGCAAATCCGGACGGTTCTCTCCGTCTGGTGTCCGCACAAAATAATTTCTCCAAACTAACACACCTGCGTTTGTCAAAGAAGAAATCAATGTCAATAATTTACGAAAACATACCTTGTGTGAGATCTTGCTCTCATCCGAGTCATCATTCAGTGCAATTGGAGAAGCTATTTGGCCCAACTCTGCCTCAAAATTCCCGGACAGACTTGCTTCAGGGACATGAGTCTGAATTGCTTGTGATGAACTATCATGCATATTACCGACAGTGTCAGCACTGACAATTTGCAACCCATTTTCAGTAGCCTCCAAGGAAGAAGAAACAGATTCATCTCTGCCACTTTTCTTGTTTTTCAAGAAGAACAAACTTGATACTCTTCCCTTGAAGGATGTTTTCCCACTCCTAGATTTTGGTGTTTCCTTGGTAACCACAGATTTATCAGTTCTGGAGTCAGAATCTTGTACGTTCAAGCCAATACTAGCATAAGTTGGTGAAGAGTTTGGAACTGATTTTGATCTTGAAAGATTACCACTGGATCCCCCATCTCCATTTTCTTCTTTTGATCTGATCCCTGAAGCACCAGGTCCCATGTCATTCCTATTTTCCATTTTTAGCTCATTAATGGAAAGCATCTCGCCCAAGGTGCTGGAACTTCTCCTTCCTTGAAGCTTTTCCTGATACAGTCCATTTGATGTGACCAAAGCCCACCTCTCAGAGAGCCGTTTCTTGGCCTCCTTTATCACCAATGAAGATTCCGGGGAATGGGAAGCTCGGCTTAAAGATGAATGTGAGTAAGGACTTCCATATCTATTGCTCATGTAATCCCAAGAACTTGCAATTTCTGAATCACTGTTGTTACAATCCTCTCCTACAAAATTTTCAGACCTATTAAATGAGCTATCATCACCAACATATCCATTTGAAAAGACAGAAGACAAAAGAGATTCATCCCTTCGATGTCTGCTAAGGTTTTCAGGCGTTTGAAGTTTAATGTCCTTGTCTGCCTCTCTTGGACCTATGGGATCACGAGTTTTTATAACTCCATTACCGTCTCCTTTTCTCGGCGGTTCTGGTGATGACATAAAAGAAGTTGCTGGGGACTTCAAGTCTAAATGCTTTTTGGGGCTAGGCTTCAAGACCACAATCCTAGTCGGCTGAGGTAATTTTTCAGGATGATAAGCAAAACCAGAATTCCAGAGGGTATTCTGCAATTCAGAACCACTTTCATATTGATGCTTCACCTTAGATTTTGTCTCAATCGCTTTAGATGGCTTCAACACAGTAATTCGCTTTGTTGTCTGAGGTGGTGAGGGGATTGAATGATGTTCCTCTGATTGACTTGAGAAAAGAGAATTTGGTTCTTCCAGGAACTTGAGGAACAAATCTCGATTAGAACTCAATACCTCAAGAGCATCATGGAACTCTTTAGACTCCAAAAGTTTTTCATCCGTCGCTAGGCGTTTTGCTTCAATGAACTTCTCTCGAACAAGGGCCATTCTTTTATCATTTCGATTCTCATAATGTAGACCCTTTTGTCGTGCTTGATTGTTGAGCGAATTGGATCTTGATGATTGTTGCCGGATTTCATATACATCTCTATAATCCTTGTTCTCATTGCAATACGATTGAAGCTCCTGAGGCTTCAATCTGTTTAAGTATCCAACTTGTCGTTGCTGACTGTCCTGAAATCCTCTCACTTCTAAATTACTCTGCACACAGCCACCATCTAGCAAATTTCTTTTAGTAGAAACAACTGATGGATCAACTGGCAGGGTATCATCAAGGCCCATTAACCTGGCAATCACATTTGGCGTCTTCCGCTTCAAGTCCATCTCTTTAGACATCTCCTGCGCTATAAGCGTTTTCATTGGTGTTGTATTTGTTTTCTTTCCAGAAGAACTTTTCCTTGACTCACAAGTGACCTGCATCATAACAAAATGTATGAAATATTGTGCTCAAAAGTCAATTAATTCCTTGGTCAAAATGAGCTCTAGAAATTTGTGCTGACTAGTAAATCCTTACTGGTTTATCCTCTGAGTGAATTTCAACAGGATCTATTGCCTTGTTACCCACAACTGGCCGATTTCTACCTCCAATAGAACCTGCAAATAGTTCCATACATGTTAGGAATTGTTGGAAGATTCTACAATAAATGCAAGCAAGAGAGTTCAAACTAACCATATATCAAGTAAATACAACAACAACAACAACAACAACAAATGAAAACACTAATAAATCTTAATGACCTAACTTTGATCACGATGAGATTTATAGTCATTGAATTTTTTTAAGATCTGTGCAATATAAGTTTGAACTTAATTAGTCATATATTGCACAGAGGAAATCCAATCAATATAAAGTAAAAAAAATTACTATTTTGGCCAAGATATCCTTGCTCAAAATTTCTCTTATAAAACTGTCCAAATTGTACTACACAATCTCTAATTCATCTAATTAATGGCAGCTACTTTTTAAGTTGTATCCAAAACACTTGAAATTACCTTAATGAGTGTTTCCACAATAAAAAAAAATCATTTTGTTTTCGAACATGTTTGACTGCTTTTGATAACACAAAACAAGAAGTAAAAGAGAATCAAACGTAACCCAAAGGGGCGGTTTGGTAGCAAGATTTAGGCCGGATTTGAACGAAATCCAACCAAACGGCCTAAAATGCAAAACCAAATCTCACGGCAAATGAAAGCCGCCGTAGACGGAAAATTCCGCCTTTTCGTGCAAAATCCCGGATTTCTGAAATCCTGCTTTTTGTTGAATTTATGAAATCTATTGGCTTGAGAAGAAGAGTCAGCTCATTAAATATGCTCTATAGCCAAACAATCACACGGGATTTAATAGGATTTATCAAGAATGTTACCAAACAGTTTTCAGGATTTAGGCCTCTCAGGATTTCCGAAATCCGGATTTAAGAAATCCTACTTAAATCAAATCCTGGGTGGAACTTAGAAAACAAAACAAAAAAAGAGGTTTGAAGAGAGTGCTAATTGAATAAATGACTTGAGTGTGAAGAATTTTGACGAAATGAACTCTTTAAAACAAAGCTAGATTGAAAGACCATAAACTATATAGTACTGCTAGGATGACACAGTTGAAATAAGAAATTATATTGTTACAATGTTGATAGTTTCAGAATGCATATGAAAGTGAACAGAGTTTACAAACTAAAATTTGAGGATTTATGTAGTAAATAAAAAAAAAATCAGAAAAAATGGATGGTAGAATACCATCTCGAAAAGCTTTCTTGGTTCCAGCCATGCCAGTGCTCAAATCAAATAAGTTGATCATCCTTCCCTTATATTGTGGAAAAGGCTCCTACAAATCCTGAGCTATCTTGTTCAGTAGCCCATTCATCATGAAATCTAAGGAACAAAAACCAGAGAAAAGGGAGCAGATAAATCAAAAGAAAGGGACAAGAAGTTATGAAGCTAAGAAAAAAAAAAAGAGCTTGCCACTCTTAACCAAATCGTCAATCATAAAACCATTGAAAGAGCTTCTTAGATTCACCTACCAGTCTTCATCTGTACAGATTAGGGGGGCTACTCAGAAATCAATCTGCAAGAAAAAAGGGAAAGAGAATATTAAGAAAAACAAGGATATATGATAAATCACTCTACAGCTGTTGAAAGGTTCAGAATTTTGCATAATCAAGGATAAGGAGGCAAAGTAAACCACATTTATTGACTAAAATATTACACTTTCAACATAAGATTTGACATTCTTACAAAAAATTAAAAAGAAACCATACAAGATCTGAAAAAAGCTTTTCTACTATTAATGAACGGTACTTTTTTTATCCATTCAGTCCTCAAATGAATGTAGAATTAGTAATAGAAGACCAGAGAAGGCTATACTAGTATTAGCACGAAAACTGAAGAGACCGGGGAAGACCTAGCTTCAATACCCACTTTCCAAATAAAAGCAACAGTCTTTAAAAGGAAGCAAAAGATAGAAGGAAGAAAGGAAACTAGAAAGGCACGGAGGAAAAAAAATAGTAACTTGGCTAATTAGGGAAAATCTTGCGGAAGTGAAAAACCAAAAACAAGCCTAGATCTGATAAGGCTCATACCAGAAGGCAGCGATAGTACAGTGAAGAAACCAATTCCTTATAAAAGAGGGTAAAGGTAGAACCAATTAATAGTCAAACTTATAAAAAATCCATTGCTTCTCAATCAACCAGAAAAAATCAAGCTGCAGATCGAATAAGGAAATAAAAGAAGGAATTCCACTAATCCATAAAAAACAATGGACCAGAAGTAGGCCCGTGAGTCCGATTCCCAAAAAAAAGATTAATTTTTGATGCTAAACATACAGAAATATAACTCCATAGCCCACTGATCAAAGCTGCATTGCGCCAGAAGGAACGATCGACCGAACACCGTGTATCGGGAGCGGAGCAGAAAACACAGACGAACACAGAGGGAAAAAGAAAAGTTACTGACCGGCGAGTGGCGACACCAGGAATCTAAGCGGGCCACAGAGAAAGAACCACCAGCGGACAGAGATAGGGACAGATTCCCTCTCCGGCAGGCCCCCGAGGCAAATCGCCGGTAACTCAGTAAGCCAGGTGACCGGAGCTGAGTCGGGCTTAGCTGTAACAGCTCGCGGAGAAAGAGGAAGGTGGAGGCTTCGTTCCTCGTGCGATGGGCGGACGTGATGAGAATATATCTGTTTTGATCTGCATAAAAATTTCTTCGATTACGAAAGATTAGACCATATAATCGTCCTCATAACAAAGTTTGGAACTTTAAACGGTAAAATTATTTATTTTGAAAGGGAACTTATAATGTAACCTAATCTAATAAACAGTGTTCCAGCAATTTAATTTAAAACCGACCATAAATAAGCACCTCATTTCAACAACTTTTGCTTCTATTTTAGATTTTATAATAAAATGTGTAAATAAGTCTTATTTCGAATTTAATGAATAATGAATCAAATTTTAGCTACTTTATGCTTCTTTTGGGACGATTTTCTTCTTCTTCTTAAAGCGGCTTCTTTTTTTTGGGAAAACCCGGGGCAAAATGCCCATATATTAGATTAAAAGAAAATTACAAGTAAACCTGTGAAGAAAAAATTACAGCAGCAACAGACAAAAACAAGTCCAACCAGCCAGCCAAAAAAGGAGGGCAAGTGGAGGATATTACAAACATAAGGACTTAGAAATAAAATAGACCATAACCCCAAAAACATCATAAGTCCGAAGCCGAGCCGAAGAAGCAGGGCACGCCGGAGGATCTGGTTGCCTAAGAACCAGAGCAAGGTGAAGCAGCAGCAGAGGAGAGAAGGCCATCACAGAACCTCCAGCAGCCGACGTTAACATATAATTCAAGCCAGGTTGCCGAGAAGGCCATCCATGGCAAGATAGGGGAATGGCCTGCTCATCATTGTCCGGTTGTAATATCCCACCAAGAATATCCAGCTCTGAAGTGAATTGATCTCCAAAAACTAACCTGGGGGGAACTTGAGAAGCAAGGAAGCAGCAGCCACCAACAGTAATGCTAGGAGGAAAAAGTATACCAAAATGAAACAAAACTGGGGCACAAAAACAAAAGTCCCCAACAAAATTTGTATACCCCAAACTCCCAATCCAAGAACTAGGCAAAAAGAATGCACCAGATAATCCAGATAAACCCACGAGAGGCATAAAATTACAACAAAATTCAGCCATTAGATTCCAGCAAACCTCCTCAGCAGCCCGTCTTTGTTTTTCCATTTAGAAACTTTTAATCTAATAGCCGAAGATATGTTGCAGATAATTTTGACAGAGTTTAAGCTCGCATTAGAGAAACGCCTATTGTTCCTCTCACGCCAAATGTGGTAGATAGTGCAGCTAACCGTAAGACTGCCAAAATCTTTTTCTTGCCTATTGTAAATCGAGGAAAGCTTGATAAAATCTAAAATTTGAAGTAAGGTAGGCCTCAATAAGAAACAATTTAACTCCGGTAATAATCTGGTGAGTATAGAAAAAGAGAACAGACAACCAAAGAAAAGATGGTTGTGGTTTTCCGGAAAATTTTGACAAAGCGAGCATGAGAGGGGCACAGCAATGCCACGAGAGATCAAGTTATCAACCGTTTTGAGTTTCCCAATGGCAGCCATCCAAGTAAAACAAGCATATTTGAGAGTATGTTTTTTGTGCCAAACCGAAAAGTACCAGTCCACCTTGTTAAAATGAGAGTAAAATTGTGCAATAAAACCTTTAAAATCCCAAGTCATCGAACCGTCCCAGAGAACCTCAGTGTTCTCCCAAATATTGCAGGCAACAATCGCATCAGAAGTGGTAGTGAGAATCGAGGTGGGAAGAGACCAATTGCCACAAACAATGAAATCTTTAACCAATTTACCATCAAAAACAGCACTGTTAGGTTCATTCGCCAAAATAGAACCTTTCAGCCATGGGTCCCAGTACATGGAAAAATCACAGTTAAGGCCAACCTTGAAGGTAATGAGGTCTTTGATTTTTTGTGTAGTAACATGGATTTTTTTCCAGAACTTTGAGGCAGTAGACGGAGGAGGTTTCCAAGGTGAGGAGTAAAGAGATTTATACCAATCACATAAAAGGTTTTTTGAGTTATAGAATATGCCAATGAAAGAACAGAATACACCATGGTAGAGAGCATCAACCGAAGGAATGCCAAGGCCCCCAAAACATTTTGGAAGGGTAACAGTTGACCAAGTAATGAGGTGTAATTTCTTTTCGTGGACATTGCTATGAAAAAGAAATCTGGAACATAGTTTTTTAATAGTGGCACAACAAGATTTTGGTATGATGGAGCCACGAATCCAATAGGCAATAGTATTGGATATTGTAAATTTGAGGAATTGAACCCTACCTGCAAAAGAAAGAAACTTAATTTTCCAACCATCAAGTAGAGCAGAAATTCTGCTCAGGAGTGGTTGGAAGTGAGAAATATGAAGTCTTTTAGGGGAGATAGGAAGGCCCAAGTAGATGAGGGACTCTTTGACTTGATGTATCCCAGAAATCTCACAAATCTGAAGCATGTCGGCTCCAGGAGTAGAGAAAACGATAGAGCTTTTGGTAGCATTAATCTGGAGTCCAGATAAAGATCCAAAAAGGTGCAGGGAGGAAATAAGGGCAGCAGCATTTGCCCTTGAAGCAGTTCCAAAAACTAGGAGGTCATCGGCATACATTAAATGATTAATGTAGAGATCCTTGCAGTGAATACCATTGAAGCTGTTAGAGGAGTTGCAAAGGATTTGAGAGAGATCGTCCATTACAATGCAAAATAAAAGGGGTGAAAGGGGGCATCCTTGTCTGAGACCAGTAGAGGAGTTGAAAAAACCTTCAAGTGAACCATTTATACAAACAGAGAAGTGGACATCCATAATACAACCTTTTATCCATGAAACAAAGACTTCAGGAAACCCCTTTTGGATGAGCCTGGCTAACAAAAATTTTCTAGAAACATAGTCGAAGGCCTTCTTGATATCTAGCTTGGCACAAAATTTCTTGTGAGGACCTTTGAAATCCCTGAGGATTTCAGAAGCTAAAATAATGTAATCAGTGGAGCTCCTCTTAGCAATGAAGCCAGATTGACTATCATGGATAATCAAAGGTAAAACCAACTTCATTCTATTAGCTAAAACCTTAGCCACAATTTTGTAAAAGACATTGCAAAGCGAGATCGGCCTATAATCATTAATATGGGAAGCATGAGAACATTTAGGGATCAAAGTAATAGCCGTTGCTTTCATGCCTTTGGGAAGAGAACCAGTGAGAAAAAAGTTTTGGACAGCATTGAAAATTCTCAAACCAATCAAGTGCCAAGCCTTTCTGTAGAAGCCAAAAGAGAATCCGTCGGGCCTAGGAGCAGAAGATTCCTTACCATCAAAAACAACGATTTTTACCTCCTCATAAGAAACCGGAGCAACCAAGAAGTCAAAAAGGTGTGGAGGAACCATCTTGCCGGGGTTGATATTAAGGGTTGCCGAAGGAGTAAATGAGGGATTGTAGAGGTTTTGAAAGTGAGAAACAATGGCTTTAGAAACCTCTGTATGAGAATTAAAGTGGCCTTCATAAGTGGTTATCTCCTTGATGCAATTCTTATTGCTTCTTTGCCTCAACTTAGCGAAAAGGAAACCAAGGTCATCCTCACCTTGAGTGAGCCAGGAAGCTTTGGCTCTTTGAGCGATCCAAGAGGACCAGTGGGATTGCAGAACGGCAAGATTTTCATTGATACTTTTTAAGTTGCTGTTTAGAAGAGTATCCAAAGGCTGATTTTGAAGCTCAAGCAAGCAAGAGAGCTGTTTAGCTTTAAGGTCAAGGATGGAGCTAGATAAGAAGTTGGAAGAAGCCCAATGTCTGAGTTTAAGAGATCTTTTGAGGCATTGCAAACTGTGAGAGAACGCAGCAAGTGGGCTTCTAGAAGTTTTAGCAGAAAAAGCAGTGTAAACATCATCCCATAAACCTTCCATATTAATCCAATAGTTTTTGAACTTAAACCTAGCAGAAGTAGGTTTAGCATGGGTTGAGATAAAGATTAACGGGGAATGGTCAGAACCAAACGGAGGTTCGACTTTATAATATGCCAGCGGCAGATGATCCAGTAAAGCAGAATTGACCAGAATTCTATCAAGTTTTATATGTATCGGGGAGTCCACCCTTTGATTGCACCAGGTATAAAACAAGCCAGTAGAGGATAAATCTTGCACACCACATTTAAAAACAAAATTATTTAGCTCTCCCAACCTACTATCCGATAGACAAGAGCCACCCGCTTTTTCAGTCTCAAACCGGCAGCAGTTAAAGTCTCCTAAGATGATCCACGGCTGGTCCAGAGGGGGAGTAGAATCAATTAATTAATTCCATAAACTTCTGCGTTCCATCGCATTATTGTAAGCATAAACAACAGAAATGAAAATAGGGGGAAAAGATCCCGCAGAAAGTACCCCATGAATGAGTTGAGCTGATGTGAGGATGGGATGAAAGTTGAGAACTGTAGAATCCCATTTGAGCCAAATTCTGCCAGGATTAGATTCCTTAAAATTATTGTAACTTCCTTCATTATCAAACAGCAAGTTGGAATTCAAAAACCAAGGGTCTTCAACGGAGGACAGGGAAACTTTTGCTTCCAGAACACAAAGAAACTTGAGATCTTGAGATTGGATAAGGGACTTGCAAAACCGCACCTTGTCCGGGTGATTGAAACCACGGACATTCCAGCTAGCAATATTGGGCAAGTACATTAGGATTTCGTGGCTTTGGCCTTCTTGGCCGATTTCCCTTTGGGAGGCTTTGCCTTGGCTGGAGATTTTCCTTTGTCGGGTTTAGACTTCTTATCCGTGGAGGTAGAGCTAGTGTCAAAGGAGTCCGGAGAATCCTTCTCATGGGTTGGAATAGTCGAGGAGTCATTTTCGGATAGGCAATCAACGACATTAGCAAGGTCACCATCACCAGACTGGAGTGAAGCGAACTTGTTAACAAGAGGTAATTTTGGGATATTTAGAAGACAGAGAGGAGTAGGTTGATCTGAGGAGGAAGAGACTTCAGTGGGGGAATTCAAATTAGGAAGAGGAGAAGGCTTATCAGGAGGGGGAACATTGTCTGTGTTAGGACGTGGAATGGCGTCAGGTTTTGGAGGCGGGATGGGCGGAAGAGCCGTTGAGTTGGGTGGGGGACCATCCGTGACAGCGGGATTAGTAGGAGGCTTAGTAGAAGGGGATCGGC